CTCCTTCTCTATTTCGTCATCGAATCGAATGCCTCATCATATCACACTCTCCAAGCACCAAAAACAGACCTCATTTTTCCACATACGCATACAAAGAGAGAGGGAGAGCGCGCAAGTAGCGCAACATCCTAATGATAAAGGAGAAAGCACATAAAAATGATGGAGAGACGAATCGACAGAGAGGGAAGAGAGCTCATGTCTCAAGCAAGGCCAGTATACTCACGCTCATATGAGCGGTGAATGAGCGTGAGCGATTTTTTAAAATCACGAGTACCTGATATTCTGATGCAGATCAACACAACTACGTTTGCCTTTCCTTCCGGACGCGTTTCTAACATTATCCACTGTGATTCATCTTACAAAAATCGATAAAAAGTCTATAAACTCGAGTTATCTATAGAAACAATGCTGGAAGAAAAGGCAAACGAAGGTGTGTTGATCTGAATCAGTATATTAGATACTCTTGATAAACAAGAATTGATCACGCTCATTTACCGCTCATATGAGCGTAAGCACACTAGCCCTAGCCTCGAGTCATCACATTTACCTTATTTTGTACTTATCGGCACTTTAAACAAAGATGCTTTTTACCGATTAGTGTCAGTCAGCCTCATTTATATGCAGGTAAATCATCAGTGGAAGTTTTTTCAAGATTGGAAAGAAAAAGCGGATCACTTTCTTCTGCTTTCGTCCGATTGCCAATCAAAAAGATTCTTAGTTGGAATTTTCCAAGCAAAGAATAAAGAATTACTTCGTTTGTTTCTTCCTTTTATCTGTCCCGGTATACAACGACATGTTTCTTTGACTGCTCTCATTCTCGCATTATAGAAACAGTAAAATAATTCAGAATGGCAGATTTCGAAATTATTACACATGCCGACTCGACGATGAATTCGTCTAAATTACAGTTTAACATACTGAATCCTCGCGACTATCTACGCTGTATGGAAGAAGTGTCAAGCAATCAAAATGTATGTGATTTAATGCGAAAATCATTTCACTTGAAATATGATGTAACTCGTGGCCTTCAATTTGACGAATTTCGGGAAATGATTGAATCTGAATATCAATCTAATGCACGTACAATGCTCGATCAAATTCGACAATTGCAAGACGGTCAAACGACATGGTTAGCATCAACATTTGAAGAGCCAATGAAACGTGAATCAAATCTTGTTTATGGTGAGTTCATCGATGGCAAATACAATGTACTCAATGTCCAAGCAACTCAAGTCAAAGTGCTTGATGAACGGAAACTGGCGGCTTGTGGTCTTGGAGCTTTATGCATGGGCTTAGTAGTGGGTTCACTTTCCACGCCCGTCGGGGGAACAATTGCCGCTGGATCAATACTAGCTGCTAGCGGCGCCAAAGCCGCGTATGACTATAAAAAAGGTTTGCCTGACGTTATCTATGGATATATTTTCAAAGAACTAAGCGATAAAGGTGTCATTACTGGCAGTAATGGTCGTCTGAATACTTGATTATACATATGCAAATCAATCTTGAACTAAAATAAAACTTGAAATTTCTATTGTGCTTATTTAGAAGCCTTGTCAAAGGTCGTATAGCTTTTTTCGTCACAATCATGGCGAAAATTCATATACAGAAGGTGAATTTCTTAACAGTAAGGAAAGTGCTTTGAAATTTATTCACGTGTCAAAATCAGGCAAGACTTTAACGCAGTAAAAAAGTGTCCCTACTTTTCTTTGTACGTTGCTTCTGTCTAATCTTTCACATTTTTCTTTTTCTTTTTTCTTCCAATTATGCCTCAATCTTCTGCTCTGATATAATGTTACTGAGTAACCAAAAAACGTGTTGACATATTTTTTGCGTCTGAGCCAACATTCGCTGTCGCTGACAACTCGGGGAGATTATATTTTTTCGTTCGGTATTAGTAATTATTTGAGCTCGTTTTTAATAAGCGCTTCGGTGTGTGTGTAGGTGTTGGTGTGGGTGTGGGTGCGGTGTCGGTGTGGTTGTGGGTATGGGTGTGGGGGTGGGTGTGTGTGTGTGGGTGGGTGGGTCTGGGTGTGGGTGTGGGTGGGGTGGGTGTGGATGTTTGTGGGGTGGGTGTTGGTGTGGGTGTGGGTGTGGGTGGGTGTGGGTGTGGGTGTGCGTGTGGGTGTGGGGTGTGGGGTGTGGGGCGTGGGGTGTGGGTGTGGGTGTGGATTTTGGTGTGGGTTGATGTGAGCGTGGGTGTGGGTGTAGATATCGGTTCATTTTTCATTCACACTCACACTCATGCCGCCACTGATGCCCAAACCCACACCCATACCTACACCCACACAGAAACCCACACCCCACCCACACCCCATACCCACACCCAGGCACATCCACCCACACCCACACCCACACCCACACCCACACCCCACACCTACACCCACACCCACACCCTCTCTTAATAATGAAGTAATCTCTATATAAAAAGTTTTCACGTAAAACTTTTTCTTCGCCTTTTATCTTTTTTTTCAATCAAACAAAATTATAAACAAAGGTGTTTCAAAAAACTCAGACCAAAAACAAGCTTCATAAGACTTTATTTTAGATTTTTTTGAAGTTATTTCTATGTACTCTCATATATAACTTGTAAAAATTCGTTTTATTAACTTCTGTTAATTTTTTCGTATTTCTTCTTTTAAATTTAGTAATATTTTTGCTTTCTTACCAGTACAAAACACATGATATATAGGATGATCATGTCATTCTATTGTCCATTCTTATCTATTAGTTAGCTCCTTTGTAACGGATGTTATTATTAATATCATTATCATTATCATTGTTACTATTGTCCATTTATATTTCTCCTTTTCATTATTTCTTTGGTTTTAGCAATTAAGCTCAGTATTCTTTCATTTCTTAATACATTATTCAATTAGCTTTTCATGAAGAGACAATAATGACGAGTACAAGACATAATTATTAATAAATAAGTACTTTACTCATGTACTTTATATTATATTCACTAAAATAATCAACTATAAATTATTACGAGTCGTGAATTTCGTCTCTTAAGAACATTCATACATTTTTATCATTGCTCAAAAAAAATCATTTTTATGTTATAACAAAACTCACAGAAGTAGATATAAAAGACAAAAATAATTAATTTAAATTAAAATTATTTCTTTTATTTTATGACAAAAATATATCAAGTAATAATAGAAAGAAAAACTTTATTAATAATAGACAAAAAAAGAATAACTATGTACTGTTCATTCAATGATTTGTAGAATGTTTCCAACAGCAACAGTTTCATCATCACATCGAAGTGTGAATTTAACAAGTTGATGACAATCTTTAAATCGTTCCAGACATATAACATGATTACATTGTAATAATTCAAATCTTGCTTTCGCCAACTGATTTTGCTTTATAAATTTTGGTTTTTGTTCAATTTCATAGTCTATCTTAAAATCAATTAAGCAAAACAATTTTTTCAATTGAACTTCAGTAATAGCTGAATGAATATGAAGAACAGTCAAATAACCTGGACATATAATTGATTTACAATCAATTATAGCAACCTATATGCAAGATATACATATGTAGATTTTAATTAATAAATTATTTTACTTGTGCATCAAAAACTCGACTTATTCCATGTGTTTTATTTTCAGCATTACATAAAATTAATCCAGATGAGATATTCTACAAATATTAATTAAATATTATAATTACTAAAAGCAAAAAACAAAACAAACTTGTTTAACATTTGTTAATTTAAGTTGAACATATGGTCCACAAATACAAAAATCAGTTTGAGGATTATTATAATAAATTCTTTTAATTTGAACATATGTTCGATTTGGTATAATTATACATTGATCACCGGTACAACAAAAATCTGATAAGATTTTATCTATTACATTTGCACCTATTTTCTGTAAAACAAAAAGTTTAGTTTGTATTTCAAAAATGAAGCAAACAAACAAACTATGTATTGTTTAACGATATGCATTCGTTGTGAATCATTAATATTCGAATTAGTTGATTTTGATGCATCAACAAAAGTCCAAATACTTGAACATCTTAAAGAAAAAAAAAATAATTGAAAACTTATAAAGACAAAAAAATCTTTTCATTTTTTCCAACTCACATTTCTTTTTTAATTTGACAATATGTTATATTAATATACAATAGTTTCATCAATAAATTTATATTTTTATTGTTGATGAGCAAGTTAATCTTATTTGCTTTTTCAATATAACTTATTAAATTTGTTTTTTGACAAGATTCATTTATAACATCATCTATAGATTTATTGGTAATATGATGGACTTTATAATTTCTTTTTGTTTTATCTAATAAAATATCAATTAAATCGTTTATTAATATGTTTGATTTGTTTGAAAAATCAAGAAGAACTGCATTAATGATTATTGATGATTGATCATTTATAATTCCATGTTTTATATTTTTCAACGTAGTTGTATTATAAGATGATCTAAAACTAAAGCATTTTTTATGGCATCGTTTTTTTTCTTCGTTGTCTTCATCATATTTCATTTTAATTTCATCAATAACGAGCGTTGAAAAGTGAACATAAACATCTTCTAAAATTTTGTTGCTCGCTGTAGTTCTAAAAGATATTATTTTGAAAATTAACATAAGAAAATAAATCGAATTACTTTGTTGTTGTCAAATATTTTTCTATTACGTTCATTTGAATTTTCATTTGTTTGTTTTCGTCTTTCATTAATTCATAACAGTTTTTTATTTCTTTGTTTTCATCTTTTATGTGTTTATTTTCATATAATATTTGATTGTTTCGACGAACTCTAGATTTGAGTACATGAAGAATTTTTTCGTTTTGTTTCTTTATGAGATTATATTCATAATGGATTTTCTTGTTGTTTTTTTTTCATATTAAAACATTTATTCACTATTTCAATGTTTTTATCCTGAATAAGAGAAGTGAAACAAATTGAAAATAAATCAAATAATCTTACATATATTTTATGAGCAGGATGTCGAATAAGAGTAATAATTGCTTTCAATTCTTTTCTTTGTTTTTTCTTCATATTAATGTTTTTGCAATTATTATAAATTCGATCAAGTGCTTCGTTCATGTCATGTTTTCTTTTCATTTCAGTTGGATTGTTAATTTTTTCTTTAAATTCTTTTATGTATTCAAGGCATAACAATCGATTCTCTGGAATTTTTTCTAAGATAATAATTATTCGATTTATTAAATAATTTAATTGTTCAACTAGAAACAAACAAATAATAGTTATATTTTTAGAAAAAATATAATCAGAATTAAATTAAATAATTACTTATACAAAAAATAAAACAAAAATAGTTTATTTTTTAATTTTCTCAATAATTTTCAACTTACTTTCTTCTTGTTTTATTTCATCATCATCATCAACAGCAAGAAATATTTCTTTTGTTATATTCGTTTGAGATTTGTCAGATGATATACTTTGTTTTTGATCAATAATATAATTTTTTTTGAAAAATAACTAAAAGAAATTTCTTAACATAACTTTACGAAGAACTTAATATAATTACTTTATTTTGAAACCAATCTATCATATTTTGACTATTCATTGATAATAAGATGATGAAATAATCAGAAATATAACCAAGAGTAGAAAAAATAGACATGTTCAATTTATAATTGATCACTTCAAACTATAATGTATATGTACATACATATATATATATATATGTAAGATAATAACAATCAATTAACAATAGTTCATTCTTAAGGCCATTAGAAACATATATTCTGTTCATTCTTTCTTTCTTTCTTTCTTTTCAGACTAGAAAAGATGGCGATAGAATTTCCACTACTGTATAGATATTCAATTCGAAGAATTCTAAACAATTTTAAATGATCCAATTTTAACAAGTTTACAGTTATCATTAGGGGTGTTACTTTATTTTTACTGACCTTTATATTAAAAAGTATATATAAATAAAACATTTATATTTCGAAAATAAAGATAAATAAAGTCTTTATATTTACAAGTAACGTTCATCGTCAAGCGATTCACTTGGCCCTAGACTGATAGAATACATGTACGGATATAATAGCATAAAAAGCTACATTAAAAAAGTAATACGCAAAATTGATAATATAACCAGTATATCTTAGGCGAGCAGAAAACTTAATTCGGAGAATTCTCACTCTAAGTAAAGATAATGCATTTTACAAATTTAATTTTTTTTGTCGTTTTTGTTTTATTTTTTTTTGCTTTTATAAATATAAATAGCGCTCAATAAGATTAGACAAGAATACGATTTTTTTTGTAATTTTATTGGCGCTGTTTGTACGTACAAAAATATGAATTATATTATTCATAAAAATTGAGTTTTATTAATCAATATTTAATGCTTCAATTCGCGCATTAATTCTAAACTATTAATAAATTAGATATTCATTGATACAACATTGCACAATCAATCCTACAATAATGAATAATTTAAACGATTTCTTTAAATCCATACTGCTCATTTGGTCTGACTCTCACTAATTAAATGCTTTTGTAAGCGGTTTTACACCACTACCCGAACTATAGTTATTTCATTGACACATTTTATCGATGATTATTATGTGTTCATTTACATCAGTCTTTAGATGGTCATTTGTGTCATAGTTACCGGAATAGTTGTTTGTACCATGGTTGCTATATGGTCACCTGTGCCATAGTTACGTGGTCGTTTGTACCAAAAAAATGACCGTTTGTGCCATAGTTATATGCTCATTTGTACCATAGTTACCTAGTTAATTTTAGTAAAAAAATAGCCGCTTGTGCCAAAAAAATGGTCGTTTGTGCCAAAAAAAATGGTCACATGTGCCAAAAAAATGGCCATTTTGACCGCGTTACCGACAGACAGACAGACAGACAGACACAGGTGAATTTCGGTTTCTAGACCCTAGCCTTTCAGTCTAGGGAATAAAATAACGATAAATAAATCATTTATTTTTGAAAAATAAAGAAAATATAAAGATAAATGTAAGATTTTTTCTATGATTGAAAAAAGAAATAAATCCATGCTATAACAACAGAACATATCAATTAAATTTTTACTCATTAAATATATTTTCGTCGATCGGAAAATCGAATGTACAGAATAAGTATGTTAAAAGGAAACAATAAACTCATTATTTTTTGTATAACATATGTAAGTCATTATATTGTCTATTGCATAAGATTTTCCTTGAAAAAAATGATCGAAAAACAAACTGACCTGTTGCACTTCAAAGTGTTATCAGCGAAAGATAATGCTTGAAACTATACGAAAAATTGGTTTTGCATATTGCCCTTTTTTTGTTTCGTCAGATGTTGTTGAGCTGAATGAGTATAATATGTACGCAAGTAAAGTTAGCAGCAGATTCGTGTTTTTTGGAGAAATATATGCCCATAGAGTGATGCCAAAAAAAAATCTTTGTTGTCTCAGATAGAGCATCGAATATACTGTAGAATGCTTACCTTTGGAAAAATTCTAAAAGCTATTTTCAGAAGACTAATTTTTCGTGAAAAAAATATTAGCATTTCGGCCTAATATTCATCTTGAAAGCTGTGTCAGTTAAAAAAGCACTTGTGCCAGGCAGAACTTAACGAGATCTATCGAATGATAACAAATTCACCAATTTTCATCATCACAGTCGGAGTCTGGAAGGGCAGCAAGTAGTTATTCAGAGTTTGGGGTCCCTATCAACAGCAAATATTCATTTTGAAGTTGTGGTAGCTGCAAAAGGGCTTCTATCAGGTACAAGTGGATACGATCTATCTAATGATACCAAATTGATTCATGTTCATCATCATGGTCAGTGTTTAGAAGGATGGCAAAGGGTTATTGAGAGTTTGAAGTCCCTATTATGACTAAATATTCATTTTGAAAGTTGCGCCGGTAGAGAAAGTGCTTGTATCACATAGAGCTGGAGGAGATGCATCGGTTGTTACTGAATTAACGCGTGTTCATCATCATGGTCGGGGCCCATGACCCCGATAGTTAGTTATGCTGGTATTCAGGGCCACTCTCATGACCGAATGTGCAGTTTTAAAATTGTGACAGTTTGGAAAGTATTTGTGTTAGATAGGACTGGTTGTGATGTATAGATACGTAGCATATTTATTCATCTCTATGGTGGAGGTCTACTTGTTGGGATAGAAAAAGTTATTTGTTGAGCTGTTTCGGATACATAGCAGGGCCGAAGAGACGCTTCATGATGTTGGTCGTTTAAGAAAAATTTTTCATCTGAGAGAGCTCAAGGGGATGCTTTGATTGTTCTGGATTGGAGTTATGTGCAGTGCAAGAATTGGTGTCAAATTTGCAAATAAGTGGTCGAGGATAGTATTGACTGACGTCTATAAGAAACAGAAATATACATTATGAGTTTTTTGGATTTTTCAAAACAGATGGACCGTATGGAATTTAATGAAGTCTGTCGAATTGTATTAGCTTGCATCCTACGAATTGGGTGAGATTTCGTTGTATAGCGGGCGGAGGCGAATATGGGACGTTTTACTAGTCGCAGCGTTTCCGCACGGTTGCCGTACTATAGCTTACTTGTGTTGGGTGTCTGTGTTAATATTGCAGACACAATTTTAGATTGTGGAGCGGAAGATGCTTTTTTCATTGGATATCTTCGAAGTAAGCAGTAAATGTTGGGAGGCAATATCTGATTACCTAAGTCATCGTAAATTTTGTCAGGCGAACAGACACTAGCAAAGTGTTACTTTGGTATCTCTCAAATGTGACATTTGCAATTGTGACTTATCTGTGCTAAACAGGAGTAACATTGGAATTTATATTCTTTATGTTTTCATATGTATAATTATGCGATTGTTTGAGTTTATGTGCTGGTCTTTGTCTTACTTTCTTTGCCGGTTTCCTCTTTCCTTCTCATTTGTGAGCTGTCTATCGCATTGTCTTGCACGTATGTTCGCTAATCGATTCCTTATTCTGTCGGGTTGATTGAAATTTTAGCGTTCTGTCTTCGCTAATTTTCTTAATCATATTGTGTAGCTGAAACGGAGAATGCATGATATTTTCCTTTTTCCGGCGGCAATGTGTTTAGAGTTAGGCACAAAATCGTAAGATCACCTTCTACCTCTCATGTCTTTATTTTATCTTGATATTTATTCTCCTCGCTTCTTTTTCATTCCATTTGCACAAGGATAAAAAAAGAG